GTTATTATTTTCTGGTGCTACAGGTGCTCGAGCCATCGTTCCCGCCTCGGACGCCCCCTAAAAAAAAATATGGGATGTTTGTCTCTAGACAGACGAAGAGATGATTCCACTAATGCTTCTGATGAAAATTCCTCATGTTCATCGATGCCATGTAAGCTAAATTTCATTCAGTTACCATTCAGTTCAGTATTAAAAATGGGGCAAGATGGAACTCCGAGACAAAGTAAAATATAGTACTAGTGCTAGTCATATTACTCGATTCTTTTTCAATATTTTGAAAAAACAGATAGTGCCCACTGACATTTTCTCCATCTGAATCGGTTGACAACAAACAGTATTCCTCATTATCAATTATCTCATACCACTGCGCTATCATATTTACCATTTTTTTTTTGCCTCAATGTCAAGAACATTCTACGCATCAAAAAACACCGCTTGTAACTATTCCTTGTATTTTTTGTCAACAGTGTCAAAATACCTGTGAACTACGATGAACGTCATTATTACGCAAGAAAACAAATTTTGGAATAAAATTATTTCCCTAAAATGTGTTCTCACATTATTTTTTAATATTTTTAATGGAACTGCACTGAATTGGTCTTCTTTCTAGCCCACAGCTTCAGGAAAAAAAATTATGGAACTCTATAAAATTTTGCAGAGAATTTTGTGATAAATTATTCTCGTCTCGAATTTTCTTTTAAGATGACTTGCCTTTGTTTGTATTATTGAATCATTAAATAAAATGCGAGATTCTTTCGCACAAAAATTGTCAAGTCCCTCTACGAAATAATTCAATCCCATGGTAAACATGACCTCTATCATATTCTTGCCGCTAGATTATTGACATTCTCAAGGTTACAAATCCGCATACACCAAATAAGACATCGAAATAAAAAAAACATTCGGAGTGTCAATTGGATCCGGTTGCACGTGACTACACCCTGTTCACCAACCTTGATTCCCATTATAACTCAACCATGTCTGCAAGGTGAACAAGTTGGATTGATCCTCCACTTCTCGACGGCACTGCAAAATTATAACGAGAAAATTGAAAAAATAAGAGTTCAAGGGTAAAATTAAACCAAACCGTCAGAAAATTGTGAAATTTTTGGAAATATACAAAATCAAATTAACCGGAATTAAATCGTGACACAGTCCTTGAACTGTTTCCTCTAGTTTCTGACTGAATCCATTTAAGTCCATCACGATCGTCCTGAATTTCCTCTTGATCTCCCGTTTCATCATATCAGTCAATCGCCAACTTTCTCCCAGACCATATCTCGCATCTCCTCTGGGTGAAAGAAGCTCATCACTTCTCGAGTCAAAATTGCAATAACTCTGGATTGTTATTTATTAATTAATTCCTTATCTAATTTACTGTTCATTATTCATTCATTAATAACTCTAGATTCATAGTATAGTTTCAATTGAAATCTTCAACTAAAATCTTCAACTTCAACTAAAATCAATAGGTGAAAAGATTTCCATATAAATTTTTAGATTGCAACAGTGAATTCATTCAGGGAAAATTGTTGTTTTTTCTCAATGGGATGTACCATATGTTTATAAAATTCTAAATAGATTTCAGTTTATGCCTTAAAAGCAGACAGCTTCATGCCAATATTTCATCTCTAAAAAAATCATTTTATTAACTATACTTTTGCTAATTACAAGAAAATTAACTTGGGAGTAGCATGTATTATGGAAGTATTCATACAGATTTACTGGCGACAAGTAAATATTGTTGGCAAAAGAGATTCTTTTTCTCATTGTGAATCTTTTGGCTGATTACAATATAGGGCATTCAAGATAAGAAAATCTTACGTGATATTATACTGAATCCCAATTATTTAATTTACTTACAGGTTTTTGCTTTGACAATTCGATGTTTTTATTTCAGTAAAAAAATAATAATTTGAATTTGAGATATATAAGCTAGAACAACAAATCCAGGTCTTTATTATGCATCGAACAAACATTTCTCGTCAGCCCAAAAGCATTAGAATAGTCCAAAAACTCGATTAAAAATGCCAGGAGTTAAGATCATAAAATCATTCTACAATTTCGTAAGAAAATCTATTTGTAATCTATAAACATGTTAGAAAGTGATTTCAATTGGTTCGTTACCCTTGAAATGTATCATTTTGAATTCATACTACCATTCAACATCAATTATAACCGAGGAATGATTTCACGTAAAACTTGAAATAATTGAACTAAAAACTTTTCAGAATCATTAAAATCAATGGGTCGATTTCCTTTGAAACATCCAATCACAGCTGAGAAATCGATTCCCATGAAGCTTGAAGTAATTCCAATAAAAAATGTTGATAATCAGTCCAATCAATACAAGATTGAGGTGAAGTGAAGTTTATTTTAATGCCATGGTGTCAGTTAAATATGAAGTGAGCAGCTGGAAAAATTTGCAAAAGCAGGTTTTGAGTCTGATGGAAAAACGCATTGGATCATGATAAACTGAGGTACGTATGAACCATCGAGATTCAACCTGTACTTTCACTGGTCTCGGTTCTCCACCAGGAGTAAACTCAATGCCCAGCGCAATTTTCGAGTTGTTCACAGTCAATCCGCAGAGCCAGTACGGTTCGCTTCTCATCCACGTTCTCCACTGTTGTTTTCATTAAATTCCATGAGTAAGGTGTTTTAATTGTTGTGTTTATCAAATCTTCGATACCTGATTCGTTCTACTTTATACTGTCCTTTCTGCTTTCTGTTGCTGTGCAAGTTTGTGTATGTGGTAGAACCCTTGACCCTCGTGCGCTTATATATGCGCGTATTAATGAGCATTGAAGCTCTTTACGTCATCAACCGATAGAGTTTTTCATTCTTTTTTTTTATTTCCTTTCCTTTTCTGTGCGGAGGAACGACACTCAAGCGTATATCAGTGCAAACTGTCAGTCGTACATGCGACGCTAAATTGAGGACAGGTGTCATAAATTCGTAGGGCTCCGCGTCGTGAATCGATTTAATCATTATTTCAAGTATTCCAAATATTTTTTTTTCTATTTACGTAGTATAGTCCGGCTTTGTGTGTCTCAGGTGTTGATAATTGAAGGCGTGGTAAGTTCCTCACATTTTTAGCAGTAATACTGTGATAGCATGTTGAGGATCTTGAGCACTTTCGATGGTGAACGTGCAGTTTCAATGAAACTCTGTAACTGGGAAGAGAGCGAAAGTGCAGTCTGTGCAGGCTTCAGAGTGTTTTGGATCGAAAGCTATCATTCGAACCTGGGCGGGAAGTGGAAAAACAAAAAGTTCATTATTCATTTCAGGCCCATTCCAGTATTTGCACCCGGTGAAAGTATTGAGAGTATTTACAATATTTATCACCATTTTTTCCCATCTATCGCGATGTTTCTATAAGATAATTCAATATCAGGGAAGTTGTTATTTTTATGTAGATCATTTCTAGCAATTTGTATAATTAATCGGAAATAATTACGGGGCTTTCACCAATGTCATATTCGGCAAGGGTCGAACAATAGGAAAAATTAATTTAACTCAATTGTTTATTGTAGACATCCCTCTAAGATGTACATTTTATATTGCTCGGCATCGCATTTGTCATATTTTTATCTGAACTATCGGAATCTCCAACAAAACATTTCGAGTCGAAATTTTTTGAAATTTTTTTTTATATAGGGAAGCTCTTTTTTACTTAAATCATTTATATGAATTGGAATTTGAATTGAAAAATCGAAACCAATTACTGGGTTTTCGCCAATGTCAGATTCTGAATAGGCCGAATAATAGGGGGAATAAATTTCATTCAATTGTTCAGTCCAGACGTCCATCAATCATATACATTTCATATTACCTGACATTTGTTGTATGCAATTATTTGAAAAATGCAATGAGTAAAAAAATGAATGCAAAAGTTAATGTGAAAGTTAGTTTCACCTGAATTCGCTGTTGCCGCAAACAATGAAGTACTGCCATACCATTATTTGTTCCCGAGAGTGGAATGAGTCGGGACATGTCAAATGTAATATGAAATTGAGAACAGTTGGTGAATGACACAAAAAACGGTTGACACAATTAATTTCATAAAAAAATTAAGCGACAATGAGAAAAACTGTGGGCATCTTGAAAAAGAATTTGATAGTTATCACTTAAGCACGACAATCGATTGGAACAAATTACTTAATTACAGAGTAATTAGAGAGATCATCGAAGATGGTAGTTGACACTGGAACTGTGCGTCTGGTCATCTTCATCGGAATGTTTTTAGTCTTCGCTGGGGATTACACGACTCTCATAAACTCTGTTTTTGGCAATGGAATGGGATCGGGGAACTCTACTTTTGGAGGTCTTCAGGATTCTAAAGATGGACATGTTGACAGGTTGTCCATGATAACAGGAGCGAGAGACGATGTTGAAGAAGGTGAGACCATTCATTCTTTTTTTTCTACGGTTATTCATGAAATACGACACTTTTCAAAATTCATGGATGTTTCAGTTACAATGCCATCTGAATTTTTAATGATGAGAGTTCGAACTCATTTCCAATTGAAAACGCTCATTCAATTTCTCATTCATCCTCTAAATCGCTGAAAATTGGACTCTTTCTATTAAATGATCATTGTTTTACGAATAAATGCGCGAATTTTCAGACACGTTCTGAAAATTCAAACCCAAATATATAACAATTCTTAATTGACAGGAAATTCACATAAATTTTTACTTGAGTTTTTCATATTTTAATGCCATTGGGACTTCAAAGTCGAGTGTTACTTGAATAATCAATAAATTAAATGATTCGTCAACGACGAATTCTCCGGATATTTTACGTCATTTTTTTTTTGATAGCGTAGTTTCGAATATCGAGTATTCAAGTCACGAGCCTAGCGTATTAGTCAATTGCCTAGTGTTGAAGGTCCGCACGTGCCTAAATTGCAAGAATTAAATAAATTCAATGTAATTATTCAGTTGAAATATAATGACTAAAACAGGCCAAGTAAATTTCATCCTAGTGTTTTTATCTGACAAATACCCAAGTACGTGGGAATCGTTAGCTGTTGAATTTCTTTTTTTTCTTTAAGTTCATACATGGTTCATACATTAAGTTCATATTATTCTATATATACTTGTGTTACCATTCTTAAAATGTTGAAAAAGTCTTAAAAAAAATAGAAACATGATTTTTCAAGAGAAAAATTCATTAGATGAGTGAAAAATTCCGATTTTTTATCCTGACCTGTTTCACAAACAATTTTCACGAAATCATAACAATCCCAGAGTTATGCGAAATTTAATCAGGAATAAATTTCATGCCAAAAAAGGTTTCTAAGACTTCTAATAACGATAATTACTTAATCGAAAAAACACATTTTTCATTGAAAGAATAGATTTTTCGAATTCAATTTGAATGACGTTGCATATTTACAAATTTCAGAAAATTCTTATAACGCAAATTCATTCATAAATCATCGGATTTCATCAAGTTTTTTGCACTCATTAAAGCCTCTAATTTCGTTATAATAATTGGCAAAGATCGCAGAATCTCACAATGTATTCACAAAAAATTTCCGTGTCCTTCCCAATTCCAATTCGCTTTATAAACTCCAACCCAATTTTAACTTGTCAAATTTAATTTTAGGCATATCAAGAAAGGAGAAGATGATGGCAACAATAAAAAACGCTTGTTTACCAAAATTGATCTGCGAATTGACCTCTTCGCCTTATCAGGATCAACTGAGCGAAATGGAAAAGTCACTGTTGAATTTAATCAGGTAAACTGATCCGTTAAAAATTCAGCTCCCAAGGAATTAATTAATCCCCAACTGGGCGATCTCTCCCGAAAGCAGAAACTAATTAGTCTATTCCATTGACCTCTACAAATTTTTAAAAACTCAAAGGAAGAAGCAAAAAAAAATCCATGACCCTCGAATTTCCCTTGAGAGTCGTTGGGCTCTTGTCATGCAGTTTACCAAGACCACTTTCAACTTCTCGGTGTGGTGCATTCACCGGGCACTTTCACGACTTTCGTTCGTAGACCCGTTGACTCGGAATAATGGTTTAGCATTTGCCCCCGACATTGCATATATTCCGCCTTGTTTTACAGGGACTGGATGATATGAAAGTTGTAAATGATAGTCTCTAACAAAGTATAAAAACTTTTCGTTCTATTCTTTTATGATAGTGTTTTCGTGAATGTTTATAATCTCATTCGCCGATTCTGTTACTTGATTAGATAACCAAGAGATATGAACACTTGATTTCCACGAATTTCCGTATTATTAACACTTCGTAATTAAAAGAGTGAGAGATAAAATTTTCTCTCCCGGAAATTTACTGATTCTGCTCAAAAATATCGAGATACTACTGCTTGATAATATACACTGTTGACAATTTTTCGAAATGTCCGTCACGCAGGCATCTGAATTTTTAATTAGATAAGTTTGAATTGAATTTCAATAAAAAAAGCTCGTTAAAGTTCCCATTCATCTCTGGATTCTCAATATTTTTACGGTTTTTGAATGTAATATCCATCTGAAAATTGAGAATCATTAGACTATTTAAGAAATTCAATATATCATTAATAATCAATTGTTACAAATTTCAAATTTTTATTGTTTAAAATTTCACTTTTATAATTTTCTAATAGCTTTGGGGAGTCACTCTAGTTTGGAGCAAATGAATGATTCCAAGTTGAGAATTAAGATGCTTCGTTTAATTGAAAAAACCTTTCGTAAAAATCGTTAACATGTTATCTGCATTAAATATTTCAGAACTCGCCTTAATCTCCTTCTCAATAATAAATAATGAATGGAAAGCAAATGAATTGTATAGTGAATAATGATACAAATGTCAACAGAGATTTCCATTTTCAATCGATTACATTATTTTTTAACACAATATTTGAGTTCTCGGATTTTACTTTACAAACAGATGTGTTTTCACATCCCATTGCTAAATTACGGAGCAGCAAAAATCAAACTGTCACTGGAGGAATTTTTCGTTACTCCAAAATACTTTGTTATGTCGCTTTTCAGCGGAACACGTTATTTTCATTGCGTGACATGATTCATTTCTTAACATGAAATATTGATGTTGAGGTGATTGCGATTGCATTCCATTACAATGTTTACCTTCGGCTCGAATCACAAATGAATGGCAAAATGAATAAATACTAATAATGTAAGTTTATTCACCTGAGGATCGCGCATATCTTCACGGGTAGTAACGTTCCAATAGATATCGAGAGATTCTAAGAAGAACAAAAACCAAAATAAAAATTAAATGGGAGGTAATAATTATCGGATCCCCCTATTCATGTCCAATTTATATCCTATTATTATCAAATTGACAGTATTCTGACTAGATGATGCTAATATTGGGGCGACTTGGAGCATAATCAATGTGAAAGTAAGAACCCTAACAAAAAAAGCATGATGTAACCAATGACTCGACTGTTCCCAAAAATTGTAACCCACCGGTTTCGTATTTACGATCGTGTCTCTTGCTTTTTGCATAACAGGCATAACTCGATGCCAATGGCCACTTTCATTTTCATCGATTATCCAATCCGAGACTTTCTCCTTTTCTTCAGGCACAGTCAACACATGATGACTCGGTAATTCTTGACCATCGCCGTTGTATGTTCACCTTCAAACATTGCACTGCCATCTTTTTAGAGAATTGTTTGTTTAAAATTTCACCAATTCACTGCTTTTTCTCTCCGAAATTCTTCATAATCTATTTAAACTGTTGTGAAATTACCAGTTAAGGACTCATATTTCAAATAATAGTTTATGTTGATATAAGCGCGGAAATGTGAATCTCTACGCATGATTTGTGTTTAAAACTCATCGAAAGCTCAAGTGAGTGTCAATTAACATCTGCAATTTATATTCCAGTGAGACAATTTCAGATGATTGTTGCGAAGTGCTTTCATTTAGATATTTAGTTGTAAACATTGAGTAAATCATAAGTCATATGAGCGGTAAATGGTGATTAAATATTGACATATCACGTGTTTGGGCGAAATATTTTCGATGGGCTTATGATGAAAATATATTTTTGGATTGTTTTTAATTATTCTGATACTTGACTCAAGATTGTTCAGTAAAATTTGGTGCAGTCTCCTCATGGAATATTAAAATCTCATAATTATCTAAAGAATTTAACTATTAGGTAGGAATATTTAGACACTTCTTTTTCATTTTTGAAAAATAAAAGTGACGCTTTGAAGTTTAGAAGATGAAAACAGAATACTCGATTTTTGAATATTTTGAATATTTATAAAAAGAATCTTTTTTACTCAATTTATTAGAAAAAACATTATCTACTTAATTTATTAACTAAAATGTTTGTATGCCAAATCATTTGAAGAAATGCAATCATTGATTGTTATTTAAATATTCCTTCTATTAATTTCTCAATGGGAAAACAATCGCACGCTTGATAAATTTCAAGCTTACGAATTTCTAAATCAATAATATATGCAACAGGAATCTGGGCGGAATATGGACTTTAAAACGCATTATCTTCGAATATTTGTTATTACTCAGTGCGAATTAGTGAACATTCTAGAGAAAACGAAGTGGCAGAATAAAATGTCGAGCATTGTGAATTTAATGAGGTGCGAAGAGAATGGGAATAATCAGAAGAGTAATCACATTTCAACAAGTCGTTGAAAACTTTTCGCCGACTTAACTTCAAAAGTAAAAGGCAACTTGCCTTGTCCCTATTTCCGTCTCGAGTTCGCATTTAATTCTTTACCCAACTTTACCACCTTCGCGAAATCTATTGCAATAAACCTGAGAGATTACAACAACTCAGGCATTGGTCTTTCTATTCAGGATACATGATCTATTACGGTAATCCAAAAAATATGACTATTGCTTTCGTAACAAAAATCAACATAAAATATTATGCCATCGCATGCATTTTTTATTGGTAAACATCGAGAAATATATTTCATGCTTTGGCTTCTTATTGTTTATCGTAATTGATAAAAGGTAGTTCATATTTTTTATTCAATTCTTCAACAAAACCGTTAGACAGCACCGGTGAAAATGGTTTGCTTGCTGTATTTTCAAAAAAGTAGCATTTTTTGTGAATATCTTTTGAAAAAAAAAAACATTGTTGAGAAATTCCTCATACTTTTATAACTGAATCCGCATATCACATCCGCATGATAGTTTGTATCATTTTCTCAGTAAAGTTAAAATCTCTCATCTATTTTAAGCGCCACTGTATATAATAGAGTACATTTCTAGCTCTACAACATATTTCTTTGAACCACTGGCAAAAACGTGGGGATGTCTCAAAAAATGTTCACCTTCCCGATACATATCTAGCTCCGCTTGAGTTCCGTTAAATGAAATTGTCCGGGAAGTGAACTAAAAAGAAAATAAAATGTATTTATATTTTCGCAGTGAAATACTTGTTACAAACTACTTGTTTACAAAAAATCAATTTCAGAATGAAACTTGTTCTTAACTATTATCTTAACATTACGTTCTTGAAAGTTTCATAATTGAAGGAGATCAATGGCCTTGAATCAGTGTAACTATGTCGGGAGAAAGCGAATTAATCATCTCTTAGACATCACGTTGAGTGACAATATCCTCCTGTTTTCCGCTAGATGATGAATGTATTCCCCAATGACACGTAACAATTATCCCATTTCTATGTTTACAGAGATACAAGCCTAACAACAATGGCGGAAGTGGCCTCGAGATATCATTTCGCTGCGCATATGGGTCAACTAATCGCCGGAATCGAGGGTCAAGGCTGTCACAATTTTTATCCAACTTGTCCTCTACCCCGTTCCAGTGTACTCAATATGATGAAGAAAATCAGATTGCATTGAATTGTCATGAATTCCAATATATTTCCCAGGAATGGCTACAAAGGCCCACCACAATGCTATTATGAATTTCAAGTGATCCAGAGAAATAATGATTGAACCTTTAGAATTGCTTGACGTATCTGTGATATCATGCGAGATGCAATCCACCCAGAAGCCGAAGGACCAGTCTCCATTTTTTATGAAAAATCCATGGTTTACCTTTTTTGACGAAAACAATGCTGACATGTTTGACGAGCGTTATAGATACTTCCATCAATGACTCTGAGTCGTTTGGTTCATTTCGACCCTCAGATCGCTAATCAGATGAATTATGAATGATCAGATGCATGACCACAAATGTTAATTAATTAAGTGTAAACATCATTGGATTTGATAATTTCGATGATATATTGAAATTATTTTTATGAATATCTACGACTGCATAGGGTATTCTTTATTATATTATATTATTGGCGAGTCGAAAGGAGTGTTTTGCATATCCTCATAAATTTCTTACAGAAATTTTGTTACTAAATGACTTTATGATATTTATAGCATCCTCATTTTATCAAGAAAAGTTATAAAATAAGGTTTATTAATTTTAGTTCAAATACGATAGGATATTTAATTACTAAGCCGTTAGGGACTTTTCTGGCGATTGTGAGCTCACAATGCAAATGCAATCGTCAGAAAATTTCTTTTCGGCCGAGTAACGAAAATATTTTTTGTAAGTCAGTCCCTAGGGAGGATTGTACGACCGCGCAGTGGTCGCAAAGCGTTGCTTCACGGACTGAGTGATAAAAATGAGATAACGAACTTCTTAAGAAAAAAAGCAACATCTACAGAAAATTGTACCTATAAAAAATACCATCGTTTTTCCGTTTCTAAATATATATTGGAACGAAATCGAATATTTGATGTGTCGATCCTCTAATCTTTTCCCGAACTGTCTAACTGTTATTTTCTAAATACAGAAACTCTTTCTGTAATCCGATGAATAAAGTCCACCTCTTTTCATAATTATGAGTTTAAGTGTTGCACTCTGTTCTAAAATTTTTACTGAATAAATATATATATAATTTTTATTGAATCAAACTGTCCTTGGCACATCATTATTTAGATAATTTGCCATATATCTGAAGAAACGGTGGTTTTGTGACAGATTAAGAATCCGTTTTGTCACAAGAGAAATAAAAAAACAATACTTTACGACATTTTCTCTTAAAATCACTGAGATTTACCACTTGACAGCGAAGCACATGCATCGAATGTCAAGTACCAATCTCCAGAAATCCATAAAATCCTGGTAACATAACGTACGCTATCACATGAGAAAATCACAATCACGTTTCCCTCAATACCATCCAATCCAACCTATCTTATTACCCGTAATAGATGTCATGATCACCGAAAGACCCTCAGTTGAATTATCGTAGGTTCAAATCAATGTCAGAGTGTCTGCTATCTCCGTTTCTCCGGAAATTGAATGACCGACGATTTTCATCAGTTGTTACTGGTGCCCACACAAAGGAATAGCTCCAACTCCTTCGAACCACATAAACTGTCCTTCATAATTGAGAAACTTTGATGTACACGAATTCAACCTCGGAGGAGGGTTGAAAAGAGTTTTCTCTTCAATTTCAGGATGAGGGTGAAATGTTCCGGTGGACGTTTTGAAACATTTTGAGACTCGTCTGAGTAGCATTGGCACGCCAATGACTTTTCTTGGTCGTTCTTACCGATAACAACAGAGTGAAGGAGTTGGGAGAAACAACAACTGTAGCGAGATCCCATTAGGAATAACTGTGAATACTACGGAGCTTAACTCTAAACGTAAAAGAAGCAAATGGGACGTGGAGAATTGCTGAGGATATCTTTCGAGGATGACTTTGTTATCGTTTTTGTATTATTTTAGTTTTTCTCTCATTTCGTTTAATAAGTTGTTCAAACTTTTTCTGGTGTCCCAATAATAGGAGCATGGCCCGACTAGAATCATTAAAATCACAAATAAATTTTAAATATAAGTTAATGTCAATCGAAAAATTATGGATGCATTAAAATTCCATAATCTGTCTCATATAACAGATAATAATTTAGTTACCCGTGACAATGAGAATACAGATGGAATACAAGGTGAAAATCGAATGTTTTCGTATATTTTATTCTTTCATCACAATAACTAATTTCTACTATAAGTAGGGACCTGACATTGAAGGAAATTCAAACGAAAGTAATCCTTCGTTCCTCGCCTGTGGCTTCAACAATTTTTTCCGTTGCAAAACAATGGACTATTCAAGAGATCATGGGTACAAACCAGATCAGTCATTGTAATCCAATAAGTAGTATATGCCCGAATTTTCCCCCACACGAGTAAAAAAACCCCATCCCAACAGTCCGGATATTATTTTTCCGTGGTGATTTTCAAGTTTTCGAGTTTGGGAAGTATGTAGTACCAATTTACAGACGAGAAATAGTGAGAAGCAGTACGGAAAAACTCTTTATGTCACTCAAACCGCCCTAATCTCGCACTTTTATTGCCCTAGGGAGGTAAGCGATCGCTCATCGCCTTCCTTTTTACTTACCTCCCTAGGGCAATAAAGAGATTAGAATACGCGGATTCTGACGAAATATATGCCAAAAATATTTTTCAGCCCTCGTAGCATAAATTACTATTTCGTCACAGAAATAGAGCCTCGGCTTCGCCTCGAACTGGAAACTCGCGATCTCCAGACAAGTTCTTTTCGGCGGAGTGACTGTAGGCAGGATTTTGCGATAGCGCATTGCCTCATGGATGGATTGACAAAAATTACTCATGCTTGTAGATGCATACCATCTAAACTGACAATACAGCTATTAGCATCTCGAGATTTTCGCATCTCGCACCTTTCAACTATTCGTTTCTTTCAAGCACACATTGCATTAATTATATCGACGTTGTTTCTCCTAATTTGTCCTCTCATGCTCTGGACCAGCTTTATTCTGCACGATATAAGTGACAACAGCAGATCAGCCTATTTTTCGTATATTAAGGGAATGTATTTGGATACGACTCCCTGACATACGAGTAGATATTCCTTCCGCCAAATGAATGTGGAACTCGAGAAGACAGTCAATACCGGTTCAACATCAATCAGATATACCTTTACTAACCTTTCATACCCGCGTAACATTCTCTTTAGGCACTACTTTGCAAGAGACGTCTTTTTCATCTGCTTGTCTCCCTGTTCTGCTAAGATATTAGGTGTTGGTGGTGTCTTACCAGCGGTATCAAACATGCAAAGGAGATGGTAGGATGAAGGCATGTCTGATGGCCTTTGTCCCTTCATGAATAACACTAGCCTCTGTAGTTTCAACATGGCAGGAAGATGCTGTTTCTCAGACACTCGCTGTATACGTTCAGAAACAGCTGCCGCATCCCGTAAATAGACGATTTGAGTACTATATCGAGAATTCCATCTATACCAGAAGGTTTCGTATTGCAAACTCTATTCAAAG